CGACGCTGCCACCCAGGGAGTGGGTGAGGGCTCAGAGCACACGTGGAACTGCCTTGAAATCCATCGCGCCCCTTAGAAAGCCACCCACCCCGTCCACCCCGGCCTCCCTCCCTCCAGCAAGCAGGACCCCCGAGGCAGGGCTGCCCTGCTGTGCGCTCTGATGAAGGCTGGGGCTGCGCTAAGCGCAGGGTTTCTGCAGGCATGTGAAGGGCTGCCCTGACCGGTGTTTGGGTGAGTCAGGGCCGGCTCCTGAAGGATGAGACCTGTATTCACCTAGTGCATGAAGGCTGACCTGTCAACGCTGACAGGCTCCATGCTAAACACGCGGCACCTTTATTTCTCTTGGGAAGGGAGGAAGAAGAATCAGAGTCGATGTGAGCAGTGAGAAATGAGGGTGCTAACAGAACAGTCACCCGGCTCCCAGACCAGCTCTAAGGGGTCCTGTGTCAATGGAGCTAGAAGATGGGAAGCATTAAACCTCTGTCGGGGCTGACTAAGGGCACGTCCTGGGCACGTCTCCCTGTGTCATCCTCACCATCGTCCTGTGGAGCGGACACTGCCCACTCGACAGATGAGGAGATGGAGGAACAGAGAAGGGTGGTGACTTGCCCACGGTCACACAGCCTCAGGGAACCCAGCACGCACCTGCTCTTTCTGACCCCACAGACTCTGCTCTGCCCACTGGGCAGCAGTTTCTGGAGTGTCTGTTTTGTCACTATGTTCTGGAGATGCCACAGTGTCTGCAGAAATCACGAGGCCAAAAACCAGGATGCACTGGGGTAAAAGTCAGGAGGAAGACGCCTGGCTGGCTCCGCAGGCCTCGCCTTGTGCAGGCCCAGCTCCCACGGTGGGCACACCCTGCCCATCCCCCACCCCACGCACCACCACTCAGTGTGAAGCTGGGGTTCTATCACCCCTAATGAAGAAGCCCCTCTCTCTCTCACTGTGTCTGAACCCTCACAATCTGGGGGCTCCTCAGCCCAGGCAGGGCGGTGTTTTCCTCTGTGACTCGTCTCCCCACTGCCCTGCCCTGTTGGTGTGCAGACCAGGAAAGTGCTCACACATCGGCCCCACGTTCAATGTCAAAGCCCACCTGCAGAAATCGGTCAGGAGAGTTTCAAGGAAGCAA